ATGTGTATAAGAGACAGGGGCAGGGGCGGACCGGCCTGCCAGAAAAGGTGGGGGGCGCAATCTGCGAGCGAAGCGAGCAGCCTTAGTGGGGGGCGCAATCTGCGAGCGAAGCGAGCAGCCTTAGGCTGGGGGCCAGGGGAACCACCTAGAGAGCCCCTGGTGGGGGTCCAATGGAGCGAAGCCCCCTTGAAGCCCAGCACATTTGAGGAATATGAGGTTGTATTGAGTCGATTCTTACTATCTAGCATGGTAGTTTTCAGCAACAAATAAATAAAAAAAATAGGTGTAGGCCTATGTCTTTTAAAAGAAATTTTAATATACACGGTATCTGCAATATGCAACTATGAAATGTGTCATTAGTAATAATTCATCTACTCACAGCTGTGGGTTTTAGTGCCTCTTCCACGAACATCTCAAAACATAATCTTTGACAACATGCAAAGGCTCATAAATGTACACAATTTCAAAAGAGAAAGTTTCTCAACAACATCTAGCATAAAAATTACAAAAATCAGCAAAAAGGAAAACTAATATCCAAAATCCGTTAAAAAAGTCGTCAAACAACAAAATCCGCTACTGTATATTAACATTGAGTAAATTACAAGTGTTCTATTTCTCACCTAGTGGATTTATGAATAGCAGTCTCCTAGGTTGTTTTTGGTAGGAAAAGAAGAATTTAACACTGTGGGTGTAAGTTTTTCTTTCTTTTTTTTTTGTTGCAAAAAATAGGGGGGGGGGCGCACACGCCTATTACGCCCCCACCCCTAAATCCGCCTAAAAACTCGATGATTAGGTAAGGGGCCGTTATAGGTCGCAAAATAAGATGATATGAGTTGATTTTAAGTACTTCAGCGTATAGTTTTTGCTTCGGAGGCGTGGAAGGGGGAAACTGGAGGTGGGATACACCACTGTACATCAGCATATGTTATATGGTACGCCGTGATTACCATATAGCGTACAGTAAAGGCTAGAGCACAGATATATTTTGACAGTCAGAAGTGGGAACAGTAACTTTAATAGAGCTCTTAAGTGGTGGATATATCTATATAAATGCCCGCTTACTGACGATGTTCACTGAAGTGTGAGTAAGCTGATGGCGCTTAACAGGCCTGGTTTCCATAAAATAAAAATCGCTACGCAATATCGCCGACTCCTTTGGCGACGCTGATTGGTCAGTTAAATCGGGAGCGTTTCCGACTTCGTCGAGGACAGCTACAGAGTGCAAGGATTGCAATGAAAACATGTAGCGACAATGTAGCGATTGTATGGAAACTGTGTTTTACGCAATCCTATTACGTAAGTACCGTAAATCGTATAGCACGACAAACAATTTCAGCAATACCAATTCAAACCTCTAAAAATCGACTTCAAAGGCTGAAACATCACGCTTTGGTTGAAACACAAAATCGACCAGGCAATACTGTATGGAAATTTGGAACTTTGAGTACTACTAGGTCTAGGCCAGGCTAGGCAAAGTCTAGGAAGGACAGTCACACATTTCTGCTGCAGGCCAAAACCGTCACTCTCAGAGCTACTATGATTAATATATATTATTAATATCTTTACGTCAACATTAGCTTCAAGTTTTAATTAACATTTTTCAAGATTTCACTTTTCAATGAAACATATGATTTTGAAATTGGTCGATTCCTAAGATTTACCTACACGACATAGACCTAGATGACGCGTAAACGAGGCGCCGATTCAGATGATCACGGTGTCAACAATTACTTGATTTTTTTCAATTGCAATGACACAATACCACACCACACCGCATTTACGTTGATATTGCTGTGTAAACTATACTTAAAATTCATCAATCATAAATGTACGTTTAGGTGAACGACCCAACAGTGCGGCTCCAGGTTGCAGTGATGTTAGTTACAGAGATATTGGTAAATTACATTTGAATAAAACATTAGTTTTTCAGGAGTCATAAACCAGGGTCGTGTAATCACTGCTTCCTGAATAAACTAAGAGATATTCTGTGAATCGCTGTGCGTCGACGAGAACAACAGTTGTTCCACGCATGACTAAAATAGTGTGGAAAATTAATAGAATAATAATGGGCTAGTGTAGTCTTCTCTTCTATAGTGCGCCGTATCCACCAAATTAGTTGTTTCAAGTGGATTTGAATTCCCAAACAAAACCACAGTCAGAGGTGGCGCTACAGAGGGAGGGGGAAAGGGGTGATTTGTCCCCCAAATAACTTTCCCCCTCCCCCAGTTTTCCCCCAGTTTTGTCGGAATAATGAACAATGTAAGATTGGCAAACATAAATTAAATGCTCTGTCTGTCATTCCAAGGCTACTGACGACTTAAAACCAGTACATTTAACAAACTTTTTACAGTTGTAATAAATATACTGAGCATTAAAAAAAAAAAATAACAAGCACATGGCTAGAGGCGTTACAGTACCTGTTTTGTTGTGATATAATTGTATCTCCGGTCTGCTATGGATTTATTATTTTTTCCCCTAAAATTTAACCTTGCAACCTTGCTCCCCCCCCCAACCCCCGACTTCAGACGCTGGCGCCGCCACCGGTCACAGTGATCAATTTATGGAAATCCATAATAACGGATAATTTCTAGCAAGGCGCAAAGGCGGGTGACCAAACGGTATCATTATAATATTAATACTATTTTTGATTTAAATTCATCCAAATTCTCTTTATTGCAATCATGTCAAATATACATAAATTAAATTTACAATAAAATACACTTTAAGATTCAAGTCATACCAAAAATACATAAAAAAAGTTCAATACAATTCTTCAAAATTCAATTAAAAAAGCAATCAGGTCTGAAAAATGTACAGATAGAATTTACAAAAAACAACTGAAAAAAATCAAGTCAAACCAAATACACATAAAGTTCAGTTTATTTTATTGACATCAAAATTGTAGCACATGCTGAATAACATGATATTTACAATAATGTATATAAAAACATCTAAAACATTAATGAAGCGTAAGCACAAGACATGAAAATTGATAACAGCACAATCAAATAAAATTTGAAACATCAGAAATTCAGGAAGAATAAAAAACCTTTTACTATACAGAATTACATCAATTATCATTATTATTATTATTATTATTATTATTATTATTATTATTATTATTTTTAATATTAATTTGTAATTTGTGTAATATATTATTATCATCAAATAAACGAATTCACGACAAAAAAGAAAAAAAATCCAAACATTTTTTCACAAACTTTGATTACCATAAAAGGCGAAATACAAACAAAGACAATTTACAATAAAATACACTAAAACTAAAAGCAAGAAAACAAAAAAGGAGGTAAAAAATAACAATAGGCTTAGGCCTATATGAGATTTTTATAAGACGCAATTAAATATGATCTCAGTGTGTAATAACTGACAAATATTTATAAAATTATCGTTTTATAGGCCTAATCGTTAAAATGCTTAATAAGCTTATAATTTCCCGATTGGCTTTATACATCGGGTTTCATTTGCAGTATTTTACAAAAAGAAAACATTACTCATATGTATGAAACACATTTTTTACCAACCCGCATGCTCTAACTATTTGTCTGATTCATTTCGATCCTCCTAATCAACTGTGTTTTCAAATGCAGGATTTTCAACCAACTGCAATTGATTGAATGCCTTGTGTTTCTGCTCCATCGAAATTGATCTGAACAAGTCGTTTGTAGTTTGACATTGTGATGTACTCTGTCTTAAACTGAAATTATATGATGTTTTCAACTTGTAGATGCCTAGCCATTTCTGCCAAGCTTCTTTGCATTCTTTCTGTCTTAAACAAAAAAGGTAGAAAATGGCGACGCCTTGAAACGAGTTAAAAACGCAGAACAGAATCAGAAACACAATGTCAGCGTCGTTTTCGAAAGACAAAAATCCGAAGATCCAAGTAAGGCCTAGCAGCAAAGAGATGGCGATGGCGTTTACCAAACGTTTCTTCTTCTCTTTTTCATCGAGTGGTCTATTCACCATTGAGCTCGAGAAGAATAACTTTTTAATGGTGAGTACAAATATGACAAAGTTGAAGACCATGACAAGTCCAATTGGGATAATGATAGTGTAAATGAACACCTCCACTTTGGTAGCACTAAGGTAACAACTGAAAAAATGTATATATTTATTTTATTTTATTAGTTTATCAACTAACAGCAACAAAAACTGCCACTATTAGGAATTCAAAGCATTATCTGCTTATCATAGCAGAAGCTATGAGGGCTTAGGGTGTGAGTTTTCTACTGTCGTGAGAAAAAGTTCTGGTGTTTGACAGGAATTGAGCCAAGAACCCTAAAATTGGAACGCAAACGTGGTTACTACAATATGTTACAGGGGTACTTACTATTTCTTGTTATCATAATATGATATATCGATTGACAGTAGAACAATTGGTGGTATGCAGGAAAAACCTAAAAGAAGTAAAATAACATAGGGGATTCAATCCCTGACTATATATTTCGCTTGTGTACTTGAGCAAGGCACTTTATCTCCATTGCTTCTTTCTACCCAGGAGTATAAATGGGTACCTGGTGGGGTTGCCTGCTCCTGTGCTAATAACAAGCAGCAACATTTATTAATAATAATAATAACAATAATAATAATAATAATAATAATAATAATAATAATAATAATAATAATAATAATAATAATAATAATAATAATAATAATAGAGAATACGTATTAAATGACTTAAAGAGTGATACCAATCCACAATAATAGTGTTCAATATTTCGTTGTATCAACGACACATCAGCAACTGAGAGAGGAGTTAGGCAGGCAAGGTCTTATAAACAGTGCTAATAAGGTAACAGGTGCCGTAAAAGTATAGGAGAAAAGAATAAAAAAAAACCCGAAAGGTCCACTGATTAATCTCAGATAAGAAAGTATAATCAATACTTGGAGTATGTATTATACTTTCTTAAAAGAATCAAAATCAAGTAATAAGGAAAGCGTCACTGAGTTTATTCTTACGGCTTATGGAAGGCTTGATGCGATTAATACATTAATGAATGGTAAAACAGACTGCTGTGCGGGAGGATTGGCCAACCACGCCCCCCCCCCTCCCATCATTGCAGAGTCTGATCCAAACGCCACGGAAAGACAAACGGCCACTCCGGACTATGAGCCCAGAGCTTCAGGTTTCAACAGACAGTGGTGGCATTAAACCATTAAACAATTATTACAACAGCAATGAAGAAAGTAAGAATCTTTGAGAAGAAAAGCAACAGAAATTACGTAATGATATAAATACATAAATATATAAGAAACAAAAGTATAGAGTGAAGTAGAGTTGAACAGCTTAGCTGTTAAAATGCCTGCCTTAAATGCTACTCCCAGGGTCATGGCTTCAATTCCTGTCACAACAAAACTTTTTCCCACGACTAAAAAACAACTGCACTCCCTTTCTTCCTTTCTTTCTTTCTTCTATTTGGCGTCATCATAAAACTACATACACTAAAAACGTTAGGAAGCAAACATGAAAAAGACGAACTATGAAGGAGAAATTGAAATAAAGACAGGTAAATAAAGATGTCAGGTATGTTCATAAAGTAAGTGGCGACTGTAATTGCTCTTTAATATGAAAAAATAAATATTGTTGAAGTACTTCGACTTACGTTATTGATAGAACAGTTACTACGGTTAATACCAAGCATATGATTGAAACTCCACAGCCGATATAGGTCACCAAATCTAGAAATAGGTTAACACCAGGTGGAATTTCATTAGGAAACTGAAAAATAAAGATAGTCGTTAACACTGTTAAATTATATATAAATCATCAAAGAAATGCAAATACAGTGTTCAAATAAAGGACATAATAATACATCATGTAGCATAGCTCTCAACGAATGTAGTCCTGTAAATAAATGAATAAAGAAATTGTGTAATAAAATGCCAATGGCGGTCTCGAGCCTGCGACCTCTCGCTGTCAAGGCGAGCATCATAGCCATTAGACCATAGAGGCTTCACTGTTGAGCAGATTCATATACCACCAGATACACTTCATTACACAATAGGCACGGCTAGAAAGAAATAGTTGCATACAATATAAATCAAGATAGCCGTTAACACTAATATATATATATATATATATTTTTAAATAAAATATATGCTTCAAAGTAGTCACCTTGTGAAGAATGTTATTTCTGTTCTGCTTACTTATTTTATATATATTGAAGCATACGTGGATTGGATATCTTTTGATCATCACCAACAACGTTAAAGTAATTACTTTAACTTTCAATGATTGTACACCGTTTTTTCATTGCTTTTGCATTATATATATATATATATATAATATATATATAATATATATATTCATATATAGCTTATAATATATATAAACTGATATATTATCAAAAATAATTAGTTAAAGGACAACTCACAAACAAGACAGCAAAGTGTGTTAGATGTGTACAATGACACGTTACACTGCCCTTATAGCCTGTATCGATACGCTTACAGCCTTTAATTGACCAATTACCATTTCCATCTAAAGTTGCATTCCAAAAAACACAAGAAACATTGCTGTTTGAATAGGACTGCGGAAAGAAACACACAAAGCAATACCAATAAGAGTGTGTAATATAACGTATACTGATACTGTCCTACTTCTACTGGTAGAACCACCACCGTCTCCAACTACTTCTGCTAACTTTACCTGTATTACATAATGCTGCAACTATTGCATTGGCGACAAAAAGAGATTTGTTTTTGTTTGGTTTTTTTTTTTTTGGCGACTGAGAGTGTACAACATAAAACTTACTTCGGGTACGTTGAACACAAGTTTAACTGGGTTTTGGAACACCTCCGGAAGACTGTCATTATAAATGGTAGCTGACATAATCACACTGGATAGATGCTGTTCAGCTGCACCCGACTGAAACAGGTTTGGGTTGTAAAACGAAGTAAAACTGATGTTCGTCCGCTCCTCTGTGTTATTTAATAAATCATGAAATCATATTTATGCACTATGAAAATGTCAACATATGGCTATGAAATTTTAAAATGTTGTAGAATGGCCATTTTTTAAAAATACATTTTTAAAACCTAAGCTAGATCTTGTAAATAATAATAATAATAATAATAATAATAATAATAATAACAAAAAGAATAGATAATATAAAAAACAATAGCCAGCCACGATGGACCGACCGCGTACTACGCATGTACGTTAATAAATACGAAGGCTAATATATGGGTGTAATTCCTACAACAGTAAAAATAATAATAAAAAAAGAATAAATAAAACATAAATATGTATATATGATAGTAGATATACGTGTATGTGTGCATGTAGGTATGCATGTGTGTGTGGGTGTGTATGTAGGTATGTATGCACGTGAGTGTGTGTATGTATATGTATGTACGTATTATATAAACAATATAAAGAAACAATAGTCAGCATGATGGACTGACCCTGTAGTAACTATCCATATACGTTTATGCAAAAAAGCTCAAATCTGGGTGTAATTCCCACGAAAGGGAAAACATTCCAGTCTAATCGCATTTTGGTAATGATTGACAATGTGTCCATAAAGGAAAATAATATGAAATTATCACAAGTTGTGTTAAAAGAATTATAGTCAGCCATAGTGGACTGACCTCTATTAAGTGCAATTAACTTTTATATTTTTGTTTATATTTTAGGTCTTTGATGACAAAAAAAAATTAAAAAGTAACAAAAACAGTAATTACAGTAAAACAGTAGAAATTCCACAAAAGAAAAAAATATATAATTTTCTTTTGTTTTGTATTTGTATTTACTTTTTTGAACATGTTTCTAATAACAGTATCTAGTAATGTAATAGTTGTAGTAATGGGCAATAGTTGAGAAGCTATACGAGTAGTAGTAGTAGTAGTAGTAGTAGTAGCAGCAGCAGTAGCAGTAGCAGATTGGATTTATTTATAAGTATATCAACAAACCATATGATGTTAGGAGATCCTTTGGAAGTTTGACAGACTGCTTCCTGTCGTTTGCTAAACAAACATCTTCAAAACATACGTAAGGCGTCTCATTTTCATTAATAACGAATTCAACATCAGAGTTAAGATTAGAATTAAAACTTAAAGTTCGCACAGAAAGAGTATCTTCATCTTGAGTGTAATTCTGACCATCAGTAGCGGCGGTGCTAATTTGCTGCTCGAATGACTCAAGGATTAAAGCTGTCGTTTCAGGTGGTAGATTAGAATCTGATGAATCAGAGGCAATTATAGCGTCCACCGTACCCACGACTGCACCTGTTACCTACATACCATGGGAATGTTTAAAACCTTTGATTACAATGGCAGGCTTCTTTTTTATTTGATTATTTCTGTATCCGTATTTTGGTTTTCTGATTGTAAAGTCACTGTATATATACCGCGTCTAGTATATGAACATCACGATTAGCTTAGATAACAAGAACAGTATGACCACTAAAAGAAGATTGTTGCATGTTATTTCCTTTAGTTATTTCTTTACATAATGTCGGAAATACAGTGGTAAGATCATGTTTTATGATTAACAGACATGCCTTCAATTAATGTTGAGTTTAGGTACAGATTTTTATAGAATGTTCATATTATTTTTCATAACATAACTTAGATACCACTAAAATGAGAATGAAAAAGCAATAGTGTTAATTGGTTTGGCGAAATAGCTTGTAGGCCTACTCTCTCCATCATGTTCCTTGGAAAACATTTTGTTTGCCCTAAAATTAAGATTAACAGGATTTGCAATAGGTAGACATAAAATACAACATACCGTATTTTGTGTGATTGAAAATTAACTGTTTGAAAGTTTCCCTTTTGGCATTCCATATAAAACCACAAAAACAATTGTACGTTGAATGTTGCTCTTTTGGCGTTCCATTATGGAACCGCAAAATGACTGAGACACTGAATGTGGAGTACGTAAACAATATTCGGACTGGTACAAAACATGTGGTCCAGTGAAAAACGTCGGTAAAAGTTATTATGTTTCCCACAGTCAATCTTAAATATGGATTGATAATCACTTCGGGAGATCGAGACTTTGATGATTTATATTGCTTTTGAGACCAGTATGGTTCGAATCACAAGCGTTTATTAAGGTCACCGTTCCTGAATTGTGATCTTAAGCGTTAATATAAGAGTAAATTTCAACAAAAATGATAATAATGGACAACATTTAAAAAGCTGGTTTAATGTAGGCCTATATATGTATCTATCTTCTCATGTTTATAAAAAATTACGTTTATCATTTTTACTTACATTTTCGTTTGGTGATTTGATTTTGGCTATAGTTTCTAGGGCATTAGAGACTTCCTTTACATCAGCTGGCTCCAGCTCCGCCTTCTCTACGATAACTTCGAGTCCTACTGCTACCTCTTCAATATTGTCATTAGTAACGTTCTAACAAAATTACAAGAACAGAATCGACAACATGTAGAACAGTACCTACACAGATATTATAGAATTTATTTACTTCATGTACCTAATGGCAATTGGCAGGATATCTATTAATCCCACCAAAAATAAAGGTCATAATGTCCACAAACACGGAGTCAAATGGTGACATGTGATGATGATAATTCTGATGATGATGTACTTCATAATTTAATACTAAAATGGGTAAAAAGCTTGCATTATTATTGTAATTCATACGTACCTTAGTAATGTTAGCGATTTCTTGTGATAGGACAGTTTCTAAAACAATATAAAATAATACTATATAATTCGTACGATTTTATTACAGCATGTTAATTAGTTAAGCCTTGACTATTCAACAACAACAACAATAATAATAATAATAATAATAATAATAATAATAATAATAATAATAATAATAATAATAATAATAATAATAATAAATCATTATCATCATCATCCTCATCATCATCATCATCATCATCATCACTCGCGATTGGTATTTCCCAATCCGAAGACCTATCCGTAGATGATAAATGTCTGTTACTGGGGCATTTGATTGTCTGAGGAGTGTTACCTGATGGGACATTATGTAATAATCATAAACAAATGATCATAAAGAACTCATAAATCTTTCATTCTCATTATAGGCCTATATAGAATTGCATATTTGTTTTCACAACAGTAAATGCTAACCCCTTCTTGTTGTCTTGTGGAGCGTATTCAACGTTGTTGTCCCATGCGTACACAATCTAGACCCAGTTGTGGTCTCTGTATGTTGTTCGGTAGCCGATCTGAAATTCGAATCAGTTGTTGGCATATTAATGATGTTATTCAAATGTGTCGTAGTTGGTACCGATGTAGTTGCCGTGTCAGTAGTTAGATCCGCCGTTGAAATGTCAGAAACACTGCGAGCCGAAAACTCCAAAGTTTGAATGTGTGTTGTAACATTTGTACGAGACGCAGTTGTAGTGTTGTGTTCATAACTAACATTAATTAACGTACTGGCATCATGTTGTGCATTAGTAGCGTAATCAGTTTCAATTCTGGTTGTACCTGGTGGTGTTGTTGTAGTATTATATTCATAAATGTCGATGATTGAAGTTTCAATGTCGTATTCGACGATACTGTTCTTTGATGTTATAGTTGGTAGCTCTGTTGTATCGGATATCGACTCTACCCTCGTGACCTCTTCTGTAAATGTCGATGTTTGAGTTTCATAACCATCAGTAATTAATGTACTGGCTTCATGTTGTGCATTAGTAGCGTAATCAGTTTCAATTGTGGTTGTACCTGGTGTTGTTGTAGTATTATATTCATAAATGTCGATAATTGAAGTTTCAATGTCGTATTCGACGATATTGTTCGTTGATGTTATCGTTGGTAACTCTGTTGTATCGGATATCGACTCTACCCTAGTGACTTCTTCTGTAAATGTCGATGTTTGAGTTTCATAACCAACAGTAATTAATGTACTGGCTTCCTGTTGTGCATTGGTAGCGTAATCAGTTTCAATTCTGGTTGTACCTGGTGTTGTAGTATTATATTCATAAATGTCGATAATTGAAGTTTCAATGTCGTATTC